TAAAAAAAAAAAAAAAAAACCCAAAATGCCCCAAAATATAACCCAGGGGAAATATTTAATTTACCTTGAGATACATTTTGAGCTTTTTATTTTAGGAAAGATGTAAAAAAACCCCAAAATGCCCCAAAATGAAGCCCAGGAGAAATGTTTGAGCAACATTTTGGGGTTTTTTTTTGTAGGAAAGGCATTAAAAAAACCCCAAAATGCCCCAAAATATAACCCAGGGGAAATATTTAATTTACCTTGAGATACATTTTGGGCTTTTTATTTTAGGAAAGATGTAAAAAAAACCCCAAAATGCCCCAAAATGAAGCCCAGGGGAAATGTTTGAGCAACATTTTGGGGTTTTTTTTTAGGAAAGGCATTAAAAAAACCCCAAAATACCCCAAAATATAACCAAGGGGAAATATTTAATTTACCTTGAGCTACATTTTGGGCTTTTTATTTTAGGAAAGATGTAAAAAAACCCCAAAATGCCCCAAAATATAACCCAGAAAAAATTTTTCATCCACCTTGAGCTGCATTTTGAGGTTTATTTTTAAGGCAAGATGCAAAAATAACCCCAAAATGCCCCAAAATATAACCCAGGGGAAATATTTAATTTACCTTGAGCTACATTTTGGGCTTTTTATTTTAGGAAAGATGTAAAAAAACCCCAAAATGCCCCAAAATGAAGCCCAGGGGAAATGTTTGAGCAACATTTTGGGGTTTTTTTTTTTAGGAAAGGCATTAAAAAAACCCCAAAATGCCCCAAAATATAACCAAGGGGAAATATTTAATTTACCTTGAGCTACATTTTGGGCTTTTTATTTTAGGAAAGATGTAAAAAAACCCCAAAATGCCCCAAAATATAACCCAGAAAAAATTTTTCATCCACCTTGAGCTGCATTTTGTGCTCCCCGTTGTGCTCAGCCATCCCTGGGAGGCTCCAAAAAGCCCCAAAAAATCAGTTTTATGCCCCAAAATGATTTTTATTTTGCAGATAAAACCCCCACCAGCCTGGTCCTGGAATAAAAAGCAAACAAAAATCACTTATCTTTTTCTTTTGTTGATTGAAGTTGTCGATGATGACGCCGATGAACAAGTTGAGGGTGAAAAAGGAACCGAAGATGATGAAGATGACGAAGTAAATGTACATGTAAATGTTGTCCTCGTATTTGGGTTGTTCTTCTTGCTGAAATGGAGATAAAAACAGCAAAAAAAATGATATTTTAGAGGCAAAAAAATGCAGGCAAAATGAGATCGGTTGTGTTTGTAAATTCGAAGATGTTGGAGCAAAAAAGATGCAAAAATCAGAATATTTTTATTTTTATTTGTAAATAATATTTGTGAATATTATATATTGAAAAAAAAAAGGCTTCTGCAAGTTTTAATTTTGATTTTTAGCAAAGCAAAAGAGGGGATGGAATTAAAGGGAGGGGAGTTTTTGGGGTTTTTTTGTACCTTTCTGGAATCAACAGCTGCATACATGATGTCCATCCAGCCCTTGAATGTCGCCTGGCAAAGAAAAGAAAGAATTCACCCAAAATATGAAAATGAACCTGAATTGGGACTCCTGATGGTCCTGTGTAATAAACTTTACTATTATTTAAATATTTCTCTTTTCATTTCATCTTTTTTCATTTCATAAATGTATTTTTTTCAGTTGATAAATCTATTTTTTTTATTTAATAAATCTATTTTTTATTTAATATTTTTTTATTTTTAAATATAAATTTAAATACATATAAAATAGAAAAATAAATATAAAAATAAATATGAATATAATAAAAATAAATATAAGAATAAAAATAAAAATAAATATAAACATAATAAAAATAAATATGTAAATATAAATAGAAAAAGAAAAAGAAAAAATATATAAATATAAATAAAAATGTAAATATATCAATATATAAAATATAAATATATAAAAATAAAATAATAAATAAATAATAAATAAGTATTAATATGTAAAATATATAAAAATAAAATAATAAATAAATAATAAATAAGTATTAATATGTAAAAATATAATTATATGAAATAAAAATAAATATATATAAATATATAAATATAAATATACCAATATATAAAATAAAAATATATAAAAATAAAAATAATAAATAAATAATAAATATTAAAATATATAAATATAAATATATAAAATAAAAAATAAATATATATAAGTATACATAAATATAAATATATCAATATATAAATTTATAAACATAAATGTATAAAATAAAAAATAAATATATATGAATATATATAAATATAAATATATAAAAATATATATATTTATTTATATTTATATAAATATAAATATATAAAAATAAATATATATAAATATAAATATGAATATATAAACCCCCCCAAAAAATATAAATATATATAAATATAAATATAAATATAAATTTATAGACCAAAAAATCAATATATATAAATATATAAATATAAATATAAATATAAATATAAATATAAAAACCCAATAAATAAATATATATAAATATATATAAATATAAATATAAATTTATAAACCCCAAAAATAAATATATATAAATATATATAAATATAAATTTATAAACCCAAAAAATAAATATATAAAAATATATATAAATATAAATATATAAAGTAAAATAAAAATAAATATATATATAATATATATAATATATAAATAATATATATATAATATGTAAATATATAATAGTATATAAAAAATAAAAATAAAAATAAAAATATAAAAAATAAAAATATAAATATAAATATAAAAAATAAAAATAAAAATAAATAAATATAAAAAATAAAAATAAAAATATAAATATAAATATAGCACCTTCCTTTAATCACCCAGGATTCTGTGAGTCCCTGAACACTAACACCGTTATTTCAGAGAGAAGAACTCCACATCAAAGCAAACTCACCACCTGCAGCAGAGCCAGGTATCCCGCCCCAACGTTGTCAAAGTTAATTTTCACATTCTTCCAGCGGATCTCCGTGGAGTTGGGAGGCATCAGAGCTTCGCAGTCAGTCTTGTTGTTAACAACATCTATCTCAAAGCGATGCTCAGCTGTTTCATTAAAGCAGTAATGATATTTCCCGGCAAACAGGTTAACCCCCATAATGCTGAAAATCAGCCAGAAGATAAGGCAGACCAACAAGACATTCATAATGGAAGGGATAGCGCCAACCAAGGCGTTGACAACCACCTGTGTTGGGAGGGGTGGGAAAAAGTTTCAGTATAAAACACGAGGAGGAGACAGCGAGCATCACTACAGCTGGTTTTGGGGGGAACAGCTGGACGGGGACCACCGACACCTTGGATTTTACTCCGTGGAGAAGGGATTCCAACCTTCAAATTCCGTTCCAGAGCTCTGTTTTCCAAATAAAAACAGGCCACGTGGTTGGGGATTTATTTTGTTGATTTTTTTTTTTTTTGATTATTTATTTTGTTGATTTATTTTGTTGATTTATTTTGTTGATTTATTTTATTTATTTATTTTCTTTTTTTATTTTGTTGATTTATTTTATTTATTTATTTTATTTATTTTGTTGATTTATTTTGTTGATTTATTTTATTTATTTATTTATTTTACATATTTTGTTGATTTATTTTGTTGATTTGTTTTGTTTGTTTATTTTGTTGATTTATTTAATTTATTTATTTATTTAATTTATTTTGTTGATTTATTTTATTTATTTATTTTGTTGATTTATTTGGTTTATTTATTTTGTTCATTTATTTTGTTGATTTATTTTGTTCATTTTTTAAATTTATATTATTTATTTATTTATTTATTTATTTTATTTATTTTGTTGATTTATTTTGTTGATTTATTTTATTTATTTATTTTGTTTTTGATTTATTTTGTTCTTCAGTAATTCTTTAATCTGATTTGAATATTTATTTTGTTCTTCAGTAATTCTTTAATCTGATTTGAATTGCCCAGAGGGACAGGGGGGCTCAGACTCTCACGGATGATCCGAGGACACCTCGGATTTTACTCCATGGAGAAGTTTGAAGTGATTCCAACCTTCAAATTCCGTTCCAGAGCTCTGTTTTCCAAATAAAAACAGGCCACGTGGTTGGGATTTATTTTGTTGATTTTTTTTTTTTTTGATTATTTATTTTGTTGATTTATTTTGTTGATTTATTTTGTTTATTTTGTTGATTTATTTTGTTGATTTATTTTGTTGATTTATTTTGTTGATTTATTTATTTATTTATTTATTTAATTTATTTTGTTGATTTATCTATTTTGTTTATTTATTTGGTTTATTTATTTTGTTGATTTATTTAATTTATTTTGTTGACTTATTTTGTTGATCTATTTTGTTTGTTTATTTTGTTGATTGATTGATTTATTTTATTTATTTTGTTGATTTATTTTATTTATTTATTTTCTTTTTTTATTTTGTTGATTTATTTTATTTATTTATTTTATTTATTTTGTTGATTTATTTTGTTGATTTATTTTATTTATTTATTTATTTTACATATTTTGTTGATTTATTTTGTTGATTTGTTTTGTTTGTTTATTTTGTTGATTTATTTAATTTATTTATTTATTTAATTTATTTTGTTGATTTATTTTATTTATTTATTTTTTTGATTTATTTGGTTTATTTATTTTGTTCATTTATTTTGTTCATTTATTTTGTTCATTTTTTTAATTTATTTTATTTATTTATTTATTTATTTATTTATTTTATTTATTTTGTTGATTTATTTTGTTGATTTATTTTGTTTATTTTGTTGATTTATTTTGTTTGCTTATTTTGTTGATTTATTTATTTATTTATTTAATTTATTTTGTTGATTTATCTATTTTGTTTATTTATTTGGTTTATTTATTTTGTTGATTTATTTAATTTATTTTGTTGACTTATTTTGTTGATCTATTTCGTTTGTTTATTTTGTTGATTGATTGATTGATTGATTTTATTTATTTTGTTGATTTATTTTATTTATTTATTTTGTTTATTTATTTGGTTGATTTATTTGGTTGATTTATTTTGTTCATTTATTTAATTTATTTATTTTGTTGATTTTGTTGATTTATTTTGTTGATTTATTTTATTTATTTATTTTGTTGATTTTGTTGATTTATTTATTTATTTATTTAATTTATTTATTTAGTTGATTTATTTAGTTGATTTTATTTATTTATTTATTTATTTCATTTATTTCATTTATTTTGTTGATTTTAATTTATTTATTTTATTTATTTATTTCATTTATTTTGTTGATTTATTTCGTTGATTTATTTATTTATTTATTTCATTTATTTAATTAATTAATTTTGTTGATTTTATTTATTTATTTTATTTATTTAATTTATTTTGTTGATTTATTTTGTTGATTTATTTGGTTGATTTATTTTGTTGATTTATCTTGTTGATTTATCTTGTTGATTTATTTTGTTCATTTACTTTGTTCATTTACTTTATTTTTTATTTATTTTGTTCTTCAGTAACTCTTTTCTCTGATTTGAATCTCCCAGCCTCTCACGGATGAGAATTTGGAATTTTCCCATCACCTTTTTCCGGTGAATTGAGGATTTTTTGGGTCAGTGGCTCCCTCCAGCCGTTCCCCACATCCAAACCGAGCTGTTTTCACTCCGGGCTCGGTCCTGCTCCCAGCAGGGGCTGCGGAAACGGGGTCAGGACCCAGCCCAGCATCACCGTGGTCACACCAAAACGACACCCGGGTCACACCGAGGACAACGCAAGGCCACTCGTGTCACCGAGTGACGACACCCGGATCACACCGAGGACAAAGGCCACTCGTGTCACCGGGTAACGACACCCGGGTCACACCGAGGACAACGCAAGGCCACTTGTGTCACCGAGTGACGACACCCGGGTGACACCGAGGACAACGCAAGGCCACTTGTGTCACCGAGTGACACCGAGGACAACGCAAGGCCACTCGTGTCAACGGGTCACGACACCCGGGTCACACCGAGGACCAAGCCAGGCCACTCGTGTCACCCAGGTCACACCGAGGACAATGCAAGGTCACTCGTGTCACCGGGTCACGACACCCGGGTCACACCGAGGACAATGCCAGGCCACTCGTGTCACTCGGGTCACACCGAGGACAATGCAAGGTCACTCGTGTCACCGGGTCACGACACCCAGGTCACACCGAGGACAACGCCAGGCCACTCGTGTTGTCCCAGGCAGAGCTCAGCATGCACCCGGCAGGCTCCCGAGGACAGAAAAGCCATGTTCCTCCCTCCAAACTGCACCAAAAAGGGACAGAGATGGCTTTTGTCACAGCTCATCTCTCCCGAATTCCAAATTTTTCTAATTCCAAATTTTTCTAATTCCAAATTTTTCTAATTCCTTTTTCTAATTCCAAATTTTTCTAATTCCAAATTTTTCTAATTCCTTTTCCTAATTCCAAATTTTTCTAATTCCTTTTTCTAATTCTGAATTTTTCTAATTCCTTTTTTCTAATTCCAAATTTTTCTAATTCCTTTTTCTAATTCCTTTTTTCTGATTCCAAATTTTTCTAATTCCTTTTTCTAATTCCAAATTTTTCTAATTCATTTTCCTAATTCCAAATTTTTCTAATTCCTTTTCCTAATTCCAAATTTTTCTAATTCCTTTTCCTAATTCTGAATTTTTCTAATTACAAATTTTTCTAATTCCTTTCTCTAATTCCAAATTTTTCTAATTCCAGATTTTTCTAATTCCAAATTTTTCTAATTCCTTTTTCTAATTCCTTTTCCTAATTCCAAATTTTTCTAATTCCTTTCTCTAATTCCAAATTTTTCTAATTCCTTTTTCTAATTCCTTTTTCTAATTCCGAATTTTTCTAATTCCTTTTTTCTAATTCCAAATTTTTTAATTTGGGAGCATCGCTGGCCAACACAAATGTGAGCTTTTAATCGAGGCGGCTCAGCGGGGTATTCGGTCTGTGATGGAGATCTCCTAATTAAGATTCCTGATTCAGATTAATAAATGAACACGATATTATAAATTAAATATATAAAATATATTAATATTAATATAGATATAAATATAAAAATCAAAACCATCGCCTCGGTTGTGAGACTCGAGCGCGTGTGGGAAGCCCCAGGGGTGGGACAGGTATATATAAATAAAAATAAATATATATAAATATAAATAAAAATACACTGATTTGTTCCAGCTACTGTACTTTGGGGTCACTGATATATAAATATATATAAATAAAAATAAAAATACACTGATTTATTCTGCACTTTGGGGGGTCACTGATATATAAATATATATAAATAAAAATACAGGGGGTAACTGATATATAAATATATATAAATAAAAGTACAGGGGTCACTGATATATAAATATATATAAAAAATAAAAATACACTGATTTATTCTGCACTTTGGGGGGTCACTGATATATAAATATATATATTAATATATATAAATAAAAATAAAAATACACTGATTTATTCTGCACTTTGGGGGGTTCACTGATATATAAATATATATAAAAAATAAAAATACACTGATTTATTTTGCACTTTGGGGGGGTCACTGATATATAAATATATATAAATAAAAATACAAGGGGGTCACTGATATATAAATATATATAAAAAAAGTACAGGGGGTCACTGATATATAAATATATATAAAAAATAAAAATACACTGATTTGTTCCAGCTACTGTACTTTGGGGTCACTGATATATAAATATATATAAATATAAATAAAAATACACTGATTTATTCTGTACTTGGGGGTCACTGATATATAAATATATATAAATAAA